CGTGCTGCGGTTATTTGGCTATGGATAACACCTGGGAAGACGATTGGATAGTTAGCATTGCATTAAATTGAATTTTTTTACTTTTTCAAAATGCAATTTGTATACAATTTTCAGACATTTTTTGCGCGGAGAAGACTGCAAGTGCAGGTTGATATGGTCTTGAAAGAGGTTTGTGATATGCTCTTTTTTACTGCGAAGTGTCAAATTTTACTGCGATGAATAACTTTTGATTAAGTATGGAGACCGGGAATGTGCTGAACTTTGGTCCAAATTGTCGATCAAATTGCCCACATTTTTCTGTGATTTGCAAGTCATCCCAAGTTTGCTCCATGGAGATTTATGGAGTGGAAATGTTGGAAGTGCTGATGGTGTTCCAGGCAAGTGTCACAAATCTTTTTCTTTCTACAATAATAATCTTGTCTACAAGAATTTTCACTGTACTGTATAACAATTCTTTTGTGTTCTGTCCCATTGGGTTCTCTTGTCCTGATGTTATAGGGGCATTCTATAAAAAAGTTCTTTTTACTATGATTTTTTTTCTGGTCCCCTGAATTTCATCATTGAAATTGTCCACCTATCTATGGCATACATTTTATGATCTATCAACGTTTTCTTCAACTTTACATTTGTGCAAAAATTTTGCAACCTAATTTTAAGTTGACCCAATAAGCTTGTTGTCTGAGCTGAATAATCAACTTTTTCTGGATGTTGACCTTATCTTGAGTCTGTTGGAAATTTCTAGAAGATTTTTCTGATTCATTTTTGTTTTCTTCCTCGTTGATGATTGCAGTGATATTTGATCCAGCCACGTTTTATGGCCATTCGGAGTATGAAGTTGGAATCATGAAAATGTTTGGAACTGGTGGATTTGGAACTGATTTCTTTGATGCATATTTTGAAATTTTACCAAAAGAACCTGGATTTGAAGAGCGTGTGCAACTTTATGAGCTTTTTCATCACCTAAACCATTGGTGAGACCTTATTTTCTTTAAATTGTGAAGAATTGAAAAATGAATGGGGAAAGTTTTTTTTTTGGGTCTTCTGCAGGAATCACTTTGGATCAGGGTACAGAAGTGGAGCCCTTGGTATCATGAGAAAGTTGACAAAATGAGTATTTTTTGTATGCCTCATTTTATGAGATTTCATTCATGGATATTTTTTTCAAGGAAGTGGGTATTTGTTTATTTTGAGGTGCATGAAATGAATCTAACAGTTCATTTGATAATGGATCTTCTTATTCTACATGGAGAAGCTGTCTTGTTCATTGGTCCAAGCACTGGTTCTTTCCTGATACAGGTATCTGTTGGAATTAAGAGGTTTTGGTAACTCTGCGCCAGTTTTTCCTCTTTTTCTATTGATTGATGGTAACACAATTTTTTGAGATATTATCACAGAAAGATGTGTGCCCATTATTTTTCCAAATATATTTACTCTACGTGATTATCAAGTAGCATTTGGTTACAAGTATCAGTACAATTAGATTCAAAGTCGAAAATTAAAATTAAAAATTGAGTTTGTTCATGAGAATTTGTCTTGGTATTGAATAATTTTCAGGTCCCAAGAACTGCTGCTGCTTTGTTGTAACAAGAATTTGCTGTTCTTCAAAGAACATTACTGAAGATTTGATTAGATAACATCAGTTTGTTTGGATTGCTCATTCAGCAAATGGTCATATACTTGAACAGTGAACCGAACTATTCCTACATTGACATACTGTATATCTCATTCAATGAATTTCAGAGAATTTTCAAAGCATTGAAATAATTTGGAACAGTGATTGTAAAACCTTCATAAATCTAAAATTTGAAGTATGCATAAATAGAAGTATGCATTTTACAGGGAAAACGTACTGCAGAAAGATCAGACACAATGTACGAAATGCTGATTGTATTTTACCAAATTCCCCACAAGAAAATCACTTTAGTCCAGAAAATTGGTTTATTTGAGAGGGAAAACTAGCTCACAAAATGTTTTTTTCTTCTTTTAAATGAATTAAGATTGTATCAATTCACTGAAGTTCAGAGACTATGCTAAACATATCAAGATTCCTGCTTATGCTATGCTGAATTCTAGTCATTGAATGTGCATTATGTTGCTTGATTAGACGAGGTGTGGAAACCATAGCTTGACATTAGTTCTCATGACTTGAATCTCGTTTGGATATATATTTCATATAAATGCATTAGAAACTATTTATTCTAATGCGTGCATAAAATTTCTTTCTAAAGCTCAGATAGAAAAACTCTCCAGTGCTCAAAATATTCTAAAAAATTAAAGCTTCTTCAAAAACCAAATAAAACCGAGATTGTCAATCAAAGATTGATCCGATCAACTAATTGATATTCTAACTTTGTCCAGCCTGTTGAATGATTTCCTTCTGTTCTCCGGGTTCTCCAGAGGATCTGTGCAGATCCAAAGCTTGTTTAACTTCCACGTCGTAGTCAATAGGAAGTGCGGAAGTGGATTCTTGTTGCAGTCTTCGAATGCCATCGATCACTGTGGAACACATTTTCTCCAGGTCATAGTCATGACTCCAGCCCCAGTCTCGACGTGCATTTGAGTCGTCAAACATTTTTGGCCAACCATCAGCTGAATAACACAAATACGTGCAAAGTGAAACATCAATAAAACACACAGCCCTTGATACTCGGAAAAACGTTCATTATAAGAGCAAAATAATTATTTATAATTAATTGATCATATTAATATAACATTGTGGCTAGGATAACATAAGAATTCATTTACTGTATTTAGAAAAATGTCATACTGTACCAGCATTTGTTGTAATAAGATTTTTCTCTACTGCAGTATATTTTGAATTATCTTCATTGATGTTTCAGTAGCACATGAAGAAGGCTGTTCCACCTACTTGAAATTTTTTCTAGGTATAATATACNCGAAACATTTTAGAATCTTACCAATCTGCTGACGAGAATCCGGATTATAAGTAATCCTCAATTGTGGAACGAATTTTCTGACCATGTTGGCCAGTTGATGAGGGGTGAAACTCATTGCTGCAACATTGTACGTCCGTTGTTTCAAATTTGCTTCATCAGTTTCCATCATCTTAAAAAAGAAGAATGGTTTCTGAGCCAATTATTCTGAAAATAAATATTGTAAACAGAGCAGAAAAAAGTCCCACCTCAGTCAAAGAACGCAAGCAGTCATCAATGTACATCATGGGTAACATTGTATCAGGTTTCAAGTAACAGTCATAATTACCAGTCTTCAGAGCATCATGGAAAATTTGCACAGCGTAATCTGCAATAGAACCACGGAAAAAAATGATGAAAAATGTGTCTCAACAGAATTTTTTTTTCGTTACTCACTTTAAAATGACCGTAATGTTTTTTTCAATTTCGTTTTAACAAATTTTTCCTTGTAACTTCAAACAAAACTATTTTGGGGTTTGAAAGTTTAACATTCACATCCAGCAGAAATGTACATTTCTCGCGTATTTTAAATCTTGTATACGAAATTAATAGCAATTAAAATATGTTTAATATACCTTTGATAAATTAATGCTCACAACGAAGTTTTTTTGTCTATGTCCGATGGCCAAAATGTTATTTTAATTTCATTTTACCACATTTTTGCTACAAACTTCAATAAGCAACAATATTTGAGGGGTTGAAAATTAAATATACACATCCAGAAATGTATGTTTTCTGCGTATTTTAAATCTTGTACTGTAACAAAGATTAAAATAATAATTGATTTATAATAAATAAATACTTGTTATTTTTAACACAATAACAAAATTATTTTTTCTGGTTCCTGTCCAATAGCGTTTATATTATTTTGGTTCACTTCCTCCAAGTCAACGTGGTAAACTGAAGTACAAGGAGAGGAGGATGCCAAGTTCGACTTAACTACACGGCACTGACCGACAACTCACGCTGGCGATAATATGTCTTGAGGTTTTCCACAGCGGCG